TGATGAAGAGAGAGTGAAAAAACTTGGAATTTGGATGATATGTAAACAAGGCCTTAGACTGTCTCCAACGAGCTATGCAAACCGTTACCCATACCCAAAATGCATCATCTACGGTGAAAAAAATCTCCTCCAACGGAGTACGCATACGCACTACCTATTTTGCATCCGAGCTGAGAGAGAACGCAAAAATGCGTCGTCCGCGAGAGAGAGAGAGGGAGGGAGAGAAAACAGAGCAGGGCGGTGCTTGGCTGCGGCAACGCCGTCGGCGGCTTTGGAGCGCTCGGCTCCGGCGCGGCGGAGTAGAGCAGAGAGGAGGAAGAGGAAGAGAGATGGAGGGAGAAGGCAGCGGCGGTCTCGGACTTCCTCCCGTCCGCGGACTCCGCGCCGTCGAGCGACCTCACCGGCGCGCCGCTACTCCCTCCGGACCCTCCCCTGCCGGCCGCGGGCATCTCTGCCCCATCCCTGGCGGCGGCGTGGTCCTATCCCAGCGGTGGCGCGTCCTATCCCGGCGGCGGCGCCTGCTCTGGTCGCGCGGACGCGGCTCCAATGGCACGGCAGGCGACCGGCGTTCCCTCCCTCGCTCCTTCCCTTCCTCCTTCGCTGCCGGCGAGTGCGGGAGCCCCGGCCAGCGAGCGCGGGCATCCACGGTCGGCGCGGCGCGGCGAATCGCTTCGAGGCCCCAGCCCCAGCTGGCAGCGGCGGCAGCGTCACAGATCCAAAGACAGAGGACGTCGCGGCCCGCTGCCCCTTCATCTCCGGCGAAGCCTGCTGCCTCCCGCACGCCCTCGCCTCAGCTCCGCGGCCCCGTTGCCCCTCCACCTCCGGCGAACCCGGCCGCCGCCCACACGACGCGCCTCAGCTCCGCCTCAGCTCCGCCCCCACGCTGTTGGAGTTCGCTAATTTTGCGTTCGTTCTTCTCTCGCGTTGCGTGACCCAAACGGTAAAATGAGTCTCGTATATGGGTGAGCTTCGTTGGAGATAGTCTTAGTGCAGCTCAGCAGCTGCCAAGTTACACTGCTACCCTGTAAAAAGCATCTGACGTCCTCCACAGTCCAGACTAGCGTCACAGTTTGCTCAGCTGTACTAATAGCTATCTCTGTCAGGGCACAGGGCAGTTCGCCACTTCTCACTCCGACACTCCAAGCTGCCGGAGCTTTATATACCCAATAAAGTTTAACTAATTGGGCCGTCATTTAATTTCGTCTCAGGCAGGCCTCCGCACACATACATGGCGCCGCCGTCCCACTGCCATGGCGTCCACCACAACGGCACCGCGGCCGTTCCGGTGGAAACGGAGACGGTACCGCCACTGCTAGGCTCCCGGCTGCTTGACGCCGAAGAGTTCAGGCGGCAGGGCCACCAGGTCGTAGACTTCATCGCGGACTACTACGCCAGCATGGAAGACTACCCCGTGCACCCCAACGTCACGCCCGGCTTCCTGCGCCGGCAGCTCCCCTCGGACGCGCCGTCGCGCCCCAAGCCCGACGCGTTCGCCGCGGCGCTGCGGGACGTCCACGACCTCATCCTGCCCGGCGTGACGCACTGGCAGAGCCCCCGACACTTCGCGCACTTCCCGGCGTCGAGCAGCACCGTCGGCGCCCTCGGCGAGGCCCTCGCCGCCGGCATCAACGTCGTGCCTTTCACGTGGGCCGCATCGCCGGCCGCCACCGAGCTCGAGATGGTGGTTGTGGACTGGCTCGGCAAGGCGCTGCACTTGCCCAGGGGCTTGCTGTTCTGCGGCGGGGGCGGGGGCACGCTCCTGGGCACCTCGTGCGAGGCCATCCTCTGCGCCATCGTCGCCGCGCGGGAGCGGAAGCTCGCGGAGATCGGCAGCAGGAGGATCGAGGACCTCGTGGTCTACTGCTCCGACCAGACCCACTTCGCCGTCCGCAAGGCCGCGCGCATCGCCGGCATCCACCGCGACAACTGCCGCGAGATCGCGACGTGCCTTGAAGGCATGTTCGCGCTCTCGCCAGCCGATCTGCAGGCCGCCATGCAGGCCGACGTGGACGCCGGGCTTGTCCCGCTCTTCCTGTGCGCGACGGTCGGGACCACTCAGACGACCGCAGTCGACCCCATCCGGGAGCTCTGCGCCGTCGCGGCGACGCACGGCGTCTGGGTCCACGTGGACGCCGCCTACGCGGGCTCGGCGCTCGTGTGCCCGGAGTTCCGCCACGTGCTGGACGGCGCCGAGGCCGTGGACACGTTCAGCATGAACGCTCACAAATGGCTCCTGGCCAACAACGACTGCTGCGCGCTGTGGGCGAGGAAGCCGTCGCTGCTCACGGCGGCGCTGGGCACCGAGCAGGAGTACATCCTCAAGTCCGCGGCCGCGGACGGGCACGACGACGTCGTGGACTACAAGGACTGGTCCATGACGCTGACCCGGCGATTCCGCTCGCTGAAGCTATGGCTCGTGCTCCGTTGCTACGGGGTGGAGGGTCTGAGGGACCACGTCCGCGCTCACGTCGGCATGGCCGCGTCGTTCGAGAACATGGTGAGGACCGATGCCCGGTTCGAGGTGGTGGTGCCGAGGCACTTCGCGCTGGTGTGCTTCCGGCTCCTGTCACCGGAGAAGCTCGGCGGCGAGAAGACGGCCAACGAGCTCAACCGGAGGCTCCTCGAGGAGGTGAACGCGACCAGCTCGGGGCCGTACATGAGCTCGGCTATGGTGGGCGGCAACTACATGCTGAGGTGCGCCGTCGGGAGCACGCTGACGGAGGAACGGAACGTCCGCGAAGCGTGGAAGGTCGTGCAGGATCGAGCTGCTTCCTTGCTCCGTAAAATGGAGATCACTTGCAGCGTGCTCGCTTAAGCTGGCTGCTGGCCTCATTTGTATTCCGAATCTTGCATTAAGAAAGAGTATATTTTCCTTCTGATGCCACGATATGATGTTACGTTGCTCTCGCCTAGCTATATTAGAGGACAAATGAAATTCTCAGCTGGCATGAGACTTCACAGACCCTGGGTAATATATTTATTCTTAAAAGATCAAAATGTGATATAGTAGACAAATTTGTCCCTCAAGCATAAGTATGATTTTTTTAAGGGACAGCAAAAGTTTTGTCACTATTTTTATTAGACGAAGAAAAATAAAAATCAAGTGCTGGTAAGTCTGCTAACAACTAGTTGAAGGTCTAGTTAAAAAATTTGCTAAAATCCCGCTAGGTAATAGTTAGCCCTATGCATCCAAACACAGGGACTCGGTTATTTCATCTCCGAGAGCTTTATCTCATTGCCAGATACACATGCACACGAGATAACACCGTCCTATAGTGCTGGCATAATAACCATCTTTATATAGTTGTCGTGTTCATTTGGTTCCCCGCACAGGCTCTCGAGCTAGGCTCGTGGGGTGCAACGACCCGATGTTTGGTTGCCCGGCCTTGCGTTGCAAAACCCTCCTGCCAGCCAGGCTTCGCACTGCCAGAAAATTGAGCGTATTCAGCAAAATATCCAAGCGTTTTATGCATATATACAAGCAATTAAACAACGTCACTATTCTAGCTCCGCTGCCCGCGGGTTTAGGCAACCAAACAACCACCACCTACACATGGCCTGCGCCTGGGCACGGAAAGCCTGCCTGGGTGATTTGCAAAAAAAAAAAAAAGGAAAGCCTGCCTAGCTGGGTGGTGCGAATCAGGTTAGACCAAACATGCCCCTATATTGTAGCAGGATTGCACGTCCGCACTATTGGCAATATAGTGTAATAAAAAAACAACAGCCGTGCGAAATGTCGTATACCTTGGCCAGTCGATAATGCCAATGTGAGAATCGATGCAGCAACTGCCAAGCTCTCTGCTTGCACGAGGATGCTAAATGCCTGATTGCCTGGATCCGTCGGTGGCTCGGTGCTGTTGCTCTTGCCAAAGTGGCCACCAACAGTACCCGAACACGCTTAACATGTGTGTACACACTTGTTGTCACCACAGCGACACGTACGCCAACGATCTCGATGAACCGTGCACAACTGTGCACGTTGCAGGAGCCGATGATCCTAATCGTCGCCCGTCTGCATTGTGATGACCAAAGGAGATGAAAGCGCTGGTTCAGCTTGCCCAATTAATGGCCAGACGACTCGAGCCCTCTCGAGTGTCTTTTCTCCAGCCTCCGAGAAAACGAGAGAGATTGCAACATATTAGCCACCGAGAACACCTGTACGGTTCACAACAACTCATCAAATAACAGCCAACCCTATCTCTTCATTGAGGGTTCCTATCTATGTGTAATCGCCCTTGCATTACGTGCTCGGATAGATGCCGTCAGTGCGTTTATGCAGTGTTTAGTTTGAAGAATGAACCCATTCTAGATGGAGTGGTGTATCATGAGTTTATTGTTCAAATTTAATGAAATGACATTATCTATTATGCAAAGTAGTACTAGTTATTAGCATTTCGTTTGTATTTGGTAATAATTGTCCAATCGTTGACTAATTAGGCTCAAAACGTTCGTCTCGCAAAGTACAACCTAACTGTGTAATTAGTTTTTGATTTCGTCTACATTTAATACTACCACAAGTTTAATGTGACGGGAAATCTTCTTTTTGCATAGTGTCACAGGAGTTGGGAGCAACTAAACAAGACCAGGAAAAATGATCACGTTTCGCTGGCGTCTACATTGGTGATTGGCATGCGCTAGTGTACTAGTAGTATATTGATTAGGGTGGGCAAATTTGACCAAACTACAGACCAGCGTGTCATTAATTTGCCTTGTCACACCGATGCTTTCTGTTTTGATGACTATAGATGGTTGAGCCGAAACATGATTATTGTCCATCAATCACACATCTTTGTCAAAAACAGTTACTGTCAGTTCCGCTGGCAGTTGGCTGTCCCTGTCCCGCGTAGGCCGTTGTTGAGCGTGGTAGCAGTATATGCTACGAACACGATAGAGTCTCTATAAATCCATCAGATCGCACTTGTCATGGAAAACAGGTCAGGTGTGAGTTGTGTGACACACTTCACCGGACACCGCGACAGTGTATCTATCAGGACCATAGGATGGATGCGGCGGCAGCCACCCCCGCCCTCCGAAGGCGGCCGCTCTCGGTGCACAAGGAGAGCAATGGCACGGCCGCCGCCGCCACCGGGGCGGTAGGGGCCAGGGTCAGTCGGGCGGGCCACGCCGAGGAGCTCGGTGAGCCCGTGAGCCCCTCCGCCCGGCTCGTGGAGGACTTCTACATCGTCGTCGTGATCGGGATCGCCACCCCCGTGAACCTCGCCGCCGCACGCGCCGGCATCGAGGCCCAGCTCGCGCGCTACCCGCACTTCCGCAGCATCCAAGTATGAACACTGCACGTAACATAATAACCTCGTACGCTGATTGCATGAAAGCACGTAGTTAGCCTGTCAAGTACTATACTTAATGTAGTAACATTTCGTCTCGGCGGTCATCGCATCTCGCCGGTGCAACGTACGCGCGTGCAGGTGAAGGACGACGCGTCCAGTGAAGACGGCCACAGGCGGTGGGTGCCGACGACGGTGAACCTGGACGACCACATCATCTACCCGAAGCTGGACGCCGCGGCGGTGGCGCGCGACCCGGACAGGGCCGTGGAGGACTACGTGGGGACGCTGTCCACGCTGCCCATGGACTGTGTGCGAGATTCAGAGGCGCTCGGAAGGTGAGAGAAACGCCGGGATGGACGTGTTGCGTGTTAATTGATCGAGAGGACTGAAAGAGCCCCAGCCATGGCTTACATAGGAGGTGTAGCACCTAGATGAATGGCCAGGAGATAATTGAGGAGATAAAATAGCAACAACCTATCTCTTTCCTTTACAAGTGCTAACTACCATATCTCCTGGCCTACTCAATCTTTGGTGTACACGGTTCACATTACAATCATGCCACGATACATATATATTTGGTATTCTATCACTCCCCCTCAATTGAAACTTCCTAAGTTGAGATTGTTCTTGAACATCTCCAAGTTCCGCACTGCTAGTGGTTTGGTGAAGCCATCTGCAATTTGATCCCTTGTAGAGATATATTCAATATCAAGTAGTCTTCTTGCTACTCGTTCACGAACAAAATGATAATCTACTTCTATGTGTTTTGTTCTAGCATGAAAGATAGGATTTGCCGAAAGGTACTTGGCTCCAATATTGTCACACCACAATTTTGCCTTCTTTGGTGCCTGAATACCCAGCTCATATAGTAACGTTTGTATCCACATTACCTCAGCGGTGGCATTAGCAACTGCTTTGTATTCAGCTTCTGTGCTTGATCGTGATACTGTAGACTGCTTCCTAGCACTCCAAGAAATAAGATTAGATCCCAGAAATACGGCAAACCCTCCAGTTGATCGCCTGTCATCTTGATCTCCTGCCCAATCTGCATCTGAGAATGCACTTACAAGAAGAGAGGGTGACTTACAAATTTTGAGTCCAATCTCCATAGTATGTTTGAGATACCGTAGTATTCTTTTTACTGTAGCCCAGTGAACAGTAGTAGGTGCATGCAAATATTGGCAAACCTTATTTACAGCAAAAGAAATATCCGGCCGAGTCAAGGTCAAATATTGCAAACCTCCTACAATACTTCTGTATGCCGTAGCATCTTGGGGACCAAGGGGATCACCTTCATGAGCAGATAATTTCTCCGAGGTGGACAATGGTGAGCTAACCGGTTTGCACTCCATCATATTGGCACGTTGTAACACATCTTTAGCATATTTCCCTTGTGTTAGCAGAATCCCATTATTTATCTTCTTTACCTCTATACCAAGAAAGAAGTGGAGATCCCCTAGATCCTTGAGTGCAAATTCCTTCCTCAAATCTTGTAACAGACACGCAGTGGCTTCCTGAGTGGAACTAGCAACAATTATGTCATCAACATAAATAAGAATATATATATATAATGACAGTTCCTTTATTGTAATAGAACAGAGATGTATCAGCTTTTGATGCTTTAAAGCCCAGCTGACACAACTTATTACTCAGCCGTGAATACCATGCTCTTGGTGCTTGTTTAAGCCCATATAAGGCCTTGTCAAGTTTGCAGATATACCCATTCTTTGACTTGTCCTCATAACCAGGTGGTTGTTTCATATACACATCTTCTTCTAGATACCCATGAAGAAAAGCATTTTGTACATCGAGCTGACGTAGTCTCCACCCTCTGGAGACAGCAACAGACAAAATAGTTCTGATAGTAGCTGGTTTCACAACTGGGCTGAAAGTATCCTCATAATCAATACCATAGCGTTGTCTCAATCCCTTTGCTACTAGCCTGGCTTTGTATCTATCCAAACTCCCATCAGATTTACGTTTCACTTTATATACCCATTTACAGTCAATGACATTAATACCTTTCTTTGGTGGAACTAAGTGCCAAGTGTTATTATTAATCAAAGCATCATATTCTGCATCCATGGCTAGCTTCCAATCTCTACTGTTCAGTGCTTCATCAAGGGACTGTGGTTCACCAGATGCGGTGAAACATCCATACCTGACCGTACCGTCTGTGTAAACTTTCGGCTTGCGAATACCATCACGAAGTCGAGTTCGTGGTCGCGGTGGAGTCTCTGTTGCAACCGTAGAAGGTCCAGCCGCAGGGGGTCCAGCTTCTGGTGCCGGCATAGGGGTTCCATCTGCAGTAGCAGAGCTGTTGATGTCGGCATCTGTGCCCCCCGTGCCTGCGGCAGGATGGGACGTCGGTGCCGGCCCGGGCGAAGTGGCAGGAGGCACCACGTCATCGGCAGGACGCGTGACCCCGCTCGGTTGGCGCACAGGGGACGTCGGCGTACCAGTGCGCGTAGCAGCCACTGGGACGGCAGTTGAAACTGCAGGGGCAGTATTGGCATCGGCAGGATCAGCATGATGGGAAGCCGAATCTGCTTCAGGTTCCATGTTGGGAGGCAAAGAGCCCCCCCTGTTATCACACGCTGCATGTGCACCATCATTAGTGGGGTTAGTGGAATCAAATACGTGATCAACTAGCTGTTCCGTTTCAAGAGAGGGTACAAGGCCGGGTGGGAGGAGTGCAATTTCTGCACGGAGGCGGGCACCTGCGTTGGAGTGAAGAGTAGAGAAGGGAAAAACTTCCTCGTCAAAGATTACATCTCTAGAAATATATACCCGGCCGGATTGAATATCAAGGCACTTATAGCCTTTGTGAAGGTTGCTATAACCCAAAAAGGCACACTGCTTAGAACAAAGTTCAAGTTTATGGCGATTGTAGGGTCGGAGATTGGGCCAACATGCGCAACCAAAGGTGCGAAGGGAAAAATACTCCGGTTTTTGTTTGAGTAAACGCTCAAAAGGTGTTTGATTATCAATGACTTTGCTAGGCAAACGATTGATAAGAAATGTGGCAGCCATAAAGGCCTCATCCCAAAATTTTAGGGGCATTGAAGCATGAGCTAGGAGGGATAACCCAACCTCAACTATGTGACGATGCTTACGTTCAATGACCCCATTTTGTTGATGAGCATGGGGACATGATACATGATGAATGATGCCAACTTGGGAGAAGAAACTATTTAATTTTTGATATTCCCCGCCCCAATCAGTTTGCATAGCAAGAATTTTTCGATCAAATTGTCGCTCAACCATTTTTTGAAATTCATGAAACTTTTGGAAAACTTCAGATTTATACTTGAGAAAGTAAATCCACGTAAAACGACTGAAGTCATCAACAAAGCTAACATAGTAGCGTTTTCTGCCCACAGATTCAACTGCAGGACCCCAAACATCGGAATGAACAAGTTCCAAAGGAAAACTAGTTGAGCTAACAGATCTTTTATAAGGTAGCTGATGACTCTTTGCTTGCTGACAAGCATCACAAACTGATTTCTTATTGGACACGGAGGAACAAGAAAGATTATTACTGTCTATGACCTTGGTAACAATAGGAAACGAAGGATGGCCTAGGCGATTATGCCATCTAGACACGGTTGGCTTGTCAACTGCATTTGCCTGCTTGACTGAAGAATTGACAGGAAGGGGATACAATCCACGACGACATGGCCCCTTAAGAATCGTGTTCCTCGTAGCCTGATCCTTGATAAGAAAAAAATCAGGATGAAACTCAATAAAGGCAGAATTATCTTTGGCAAGACGATGAACGGAGACTAGATTCTTTGCAGCTTTAGGAACATGAAGGACATTGTTTAGATGCAAACTACGGGATTGAGTTGGAACAGTAGTATGACCAACGTATTTAATTTCCATACCTGAACCAGATGCAGTGTGAATCTGGTCATTTCCATGGTACTTCTCCCTCATCGTCAGCTTGTTTAGATCACTTGTAACGTGATCCGTTGCTCCCGTGTCGGTATACCAGTTGGTGTCGACATTGTAGGCGTTCATGGCGATGGCGGCGTTGACGTGGCGTTCTTCTGGGACATAATTTTCATCAAACCGATGCCAGCACCGGCTCGCCCTGTGGCCTGTCTTGAAGCAGATCTGACAGAGCGGTGGATCATCAGACCCACTCGCCCCATCAGGTCGTGGCTGCCGCCCGCCGTTACGCTGCTTCGGTGCACCGTTTCCTCGGCCACGCGCCTGGCCGCGCCCACGCTGACCACGGCCACGGGCAGTGCCCGAGCCACGGTTGCCATGGCCACGCCCACGGTTTGCCACGTGAGCATAGGAGCCGCCATCCTGCAGTTCCAGCCGAGTCTCGAAACTGAGCAGCTGGGCATACAGGTCAGGAATCGAGATGGGATCCAATCTAGCAGTGACTGATGTCACCACTGGATTGTAATCGGCATCAAGACCATTGCAGATGTGCGCCACCAGTTCTTCATCATCTAGAGCCTTGCCGACGGCAGCCATTTCGTCTGCAAAACCTTTCATCTTGGAAACATAATCTGTGATCGACATGGTACCTTTCTTCGTAGTGGTGAGGGCAAGCCTCACATTCATCGTCTTGGCGCGGGTCTGCGCGGAGAACATCTTCTCCACTGCTGACCAGGCTTGTCCTGCCGTCTCGGCAGTGTTGATCTGTGCCTGAACATCCTTCCCCGCACTGGACAGGAGGAACCAAAGGATCTGCTGATCCCGAGCATACCATGCCTCAAACGCAGGGTTGGGGTTGGTGACGGTCGTGCCGTCCGCCTTCTTCTCGACGATCTCAGCATCAGGGGCCTTGGTCTTGCCATTGATGTGCCCCTCGTAGCAAGCACCGCGGATGGCGGCGAGGACCTGCGCTTTCCATAGCGTATGGTTGGTCTTGGACAACTTCTCGGTCACTTGGAAACCGAAGAAGGGATTGGTGGTGGTGCTTGAACTCGACGCCATGGAACCCTAGGCTCTGATTACCATGTGCGAGATTCAGAGGCGCTCGGAAGGTGAGAGAAACGCCGGGACGGGCGTGTTGCGTGTTAATTGATCGAGAGGACTGAAAGAGCCCCAGCCATGGCTTACATAGGAGGTGTAGCACCTAGATGAATGGCCAGGAGATAATTGAGGAGATAAAATAGCAACAACCTATCTCTTTCCTTTACAAGTGCTAACTACCATATCTCCTGGCCTACTCAATCTTTGGTGTACACGGTTCACATTACAATCATGCCACGATACATATATATTTGGTATTCTATCAGACTGGTCCCGCCCGCTCTGGGAGTTCCACGTCCTCGACTTCCCCACCTCCGAGGCCGCCGCCACCACGGCGGTCCGCGTGCACCACTCGCTCGGCGACGGCATGTCGCTGCTCACGCTCCTCATGGCGTGCACCCGGAGCGCAGCCGACCCGACCAGGCTGCCCGCCATGCCGCCGCCGCCCACCACGCGCACGGGCGCGATCTGGGAGCGGCCGCGGCCGCCAGCGTCCGCGGGCGCACTGGCGTTCGCGGCGTGGGTGTGGTCCTTCGCCGTGCTGGCCTGGCACACCGTGGTCGACGTCGCGGCCTTCTTCGCCACGATTCTCTTCCTGAGAGACCCGCACACGCTCTTCAAGCGGGTGAACCACGGGGAGCACCAGCGCAAGCGCCTCGTTCACCGCGGCCTCAGCCTAGACGACGTCAAGTTCGTCAAGAATGTCATGAACTGCGTAAGTTCCATAAATGAATTGCTGAAGCCGGCATAAAATATTTCCATATTGCTGTCTCAAAATGACCGAGATGTTGCATATGTCCGGACAGACAGTGAACGATGTGTTGGTTGGACTCACATACGCTGCCTTATCGCGATACTACTTCCGGAATACAGGTGACGATTGGCAACCGTACAAGAATGCTCTGTTCTGACCTGAGGCACTGCTCTAACCGTCGCATTGCTTATCCTGTTCTTTAGGTGACGCTGACATTAAAAAGGAGATCCGTGTGCGATCAATTCTACTTGTCAATTTGAGGCCGACGACCAGCCTACAGGTGTATGATGAACTTTGCCCGGATGCAAGATAAAAGAAATTTTAATCCTTTTAACCAAGTTACAAATAGTGTTAAAATTTACTGTTACTCTCCCGTTCTTATTACCGCGAGCAGGCATGTGTTAACATGATAGAGTCCGGCAAGGAAAGTGACGTGAAATGGGGGAATGAACTTGGCTTCATCATCCTTCCTTTTCACATCGCCTTGCACGATGATCCGTTACAATATGTCCGCAAGGCGAAGAAGGTTGTGGATAGGAAAAAGAGTTCACTAGAAGTGGTGTTCACTCATTTAGCTGCAGACGTTATTCTCAAAATCTTTGGACTCAAGGTACGCCAGTTTGATACTTATTTTTGTACCAGCAGAACATCGGTTACGTGACCAAACCATTTCATAACGTCTCTTCAAATAAAAACCATCTTATGCTGATTTTCATAATGTCTTCAAATAAAAACCACTTCATACCGGTTACTAACTGGCAGACTGACTTATCTAAAAAAGTAAAAAACATACAGCTGATGTCTGGCCGAAACATCTTATTTACGGTGTAACCAGGTTAACATAGGTCAACGTCCAAATGGCTAAGCTCGTACTGATGACAGATGACTAGTTCTTAGCTACTCCTTATCTCTTGTTTGGTGGCTCACATCTCTTGTTTCATTAAAAGCATGAAGACTGTTGTCAATTCAGCCATGCGCATGCGCCACAACATTCTATCTGGATTTCCTGTTTCTGATAGCATTGCCAACTTGTGAATCAAAACAGGCAGCTAGAGCTACCTTCCATCGTATGATATCTCAGACAACCATATCGTTCTCCGGCATGATTGGTCCAGTTGAGCAGGTGGAGTTTTGTGGACATCCAATTGTCTTCATCGCCCCTAGTGGCTATGGACCTCCAGAAGTAAGTTCTCAAGAATCTAATCATGCAATAAACATTTAGTAAATGCAGGAACATGTTACGTCATCAAATTTCAAAGAAACAGTGGTTGCTAAATATTAGCATTTCTAGTATAAGTTCATTTACAAAATGGCATATATCAGTGGACATCTAATTGAAAATAAAATATGAATTCTTAAGAAAGGTATCTACGCACAGATATATACCAGAGAAGAAACAAGTGTCTTCAATACCCATCTGCTTTTTGGTTACTTGTAGTCTGGACTCTGTGTTCATGTCTAAAACAAGTTAAAGCTAAATTTGCATCTTTGTTTGTTTGTCTTTTTTCTTTTCTGCAGGCCCTAACCGTGAACTTCCAAAGTTATGTTAACACTATGATGGTAAATCTAGCAGTGGATGAGGCACAATTTCCAGATTCTCATGAGCTGCTGGATGACTTTGTTGAATCCCTCAGGCTAATTAGAGCTGCAGCTTCAAGCCTTGGAAAGAATCAAAGAAATGATTAAGGGACTACTCAACCAGTGTTTCCTTTGATTCCTCCAGTCCTAATAAGAATTGTAGAATTCAGTATTACTGCTAAATTGTTTAAGCTTTTGTGTTATAAAATGTACAATTTAACCAAAACCAAATTGATGAAGCATGTCAGTGGGTTGAGCAAAAGATTTTATGGAGAAAACTATCATCATTTATTCTGGAACAGAATATTGTAAAATTGTAATGGTGAACAGTACTTTAATATGCTTCACCTTTTTACTCACCATGTGTGATGGACATAATAGCAAAATGTCCAGAGCATTACTCGTCTTCCTCAAAGTCCATAAGAAAGTCAGTTAGGTTCTCAGAATCGTCAATGGCTTCTTTTAGTGACATTTCACCTTTATTTGATTTTTCCTGCAGCAGAAAGGAACAAGCATATTTTTTTGATACAGGTATATCCATCAAGAAAGACTGTACAAAAGATGCAGGCTCATGTATGGGATAGAACATGTTAGTAAAAGTGTTATGTAATCTCCGCATTTTTAACCATATAATCAATTACGATCATATTTGCAGACGTGCTGATAGCACAGTGGTTGAGCACCTGAGGTGCGGAGCTCCCCACCAGGGTTCTATCCCAGGTACTGCATGGTTGTGTGCCCACCTCCCTGGTTCAAATTGCGCAGATGGTTCCACGGACGCCAAAGAAGCGCGCGCGTGAGGTTCCTGCCTTGTTCCCGGGTTCGGCGGGCCCCTTCTTAAGACTAAAGTCAAGGGGACATCTCTCCCCTTGATCAAGTCTTTTTAATTACAATCATATTTTCATAGATTGACACAGTATAGACCAACAACAAAGTAACCGGTTGCTGTATTTGTGAATGCTAATAGATATGCTTTTTTTCTGACCAGAAAACATAATATAAACTATGTACCTTGGGCTTTTCAGTCTGTCCAGTAGACTTTAGAACACTCCAATTCTGGTTCACTTTCTCTTCTACTTCCGCAACATCATCCCCATCATCTTCCTCATCCTATTTGTAAAGAAAAAAGGTTTTAAAGAAACAATAAGTGCTAAAATAGGATTATTTCTGATAACTATATCATCAATAAACCACTTTCTTCTTTTGGCGATGGCCCACTATTTTGGTGCTACAATATCATGAGGAAGGTCACATTTAACCTTCCATAAGAAAATTTGTGAGCTGAGATTCCCGTATTGTCGGCAATGGCAATAGGGGCCTTGAGAAGCACAAAAAGCCTATAACTTGTAAAGTTATGTGTACAGTAGTAAGGTACCTCTAGTGATTCAGGCCGTGCAGCAGCTTTATCGACATCCTCATCCTCATCATCACTGTCTTCATTGTACTGTTCAAAAGTAGAAAATACAGTGAAACAAGAAGTATTCTAAATCCATAAGCTATTATTACACCTTACAGAATTCACAATCCATTTTCCTTTTCTGTATAGTATAAATGGCTTGAGAAGCTTTGGCAAACTTTTTTCTTTAGAAAAAAATGAAATGTTTACAGTGGGTACTTACAGATTGCTCTCCTATATCAATGGCAGTAGCCATAGGATCTTTGACTTCAGGAATATACTGCCATCATAAAATAGATATGTAAGTAACATTAACCCTACCTGCACACTTATCAGTTGAAATTAAATGGATGGTTTATTAAGATACCGTTATGTCTTGATTGACGTCCTCTCTCTCTCTCTTCATTCAGACGTGCATATAGCTCTTCCTTTGTGATCATTATCCCATGCTGAGAGGGAGACAAAGGGCCTGTTAGGCAGGATTGAAAAATACTGTTTCAGCTGATTAGTGTGAGAGAAAAATACTATTCTGACAAGATGTGAACAGTGATTTCGTGAGTGAGGGAACCAGCCAGCCCGCTGGCAACCAGCCAGACGAACGGCCTCAAAAAGAATTCACGACTCCTGTTAGCTACCCAGGACTGATAATTTTTCTTGCCACGTCATACTACTACAAACGCACTTAAAAGTAAAGGTCGTACTCCGGTTATGATTCTGCGGGGCACAAAATTTCGTCCCGTGCCGAGGGCATACGAGCGAGCCGGAAGGATCCGCTTGATGGAGCTAGAGATCCGTCTAGCTTCAGCGCAGGGATGGTCGATCCTGCGCACTCCTTCAGACGTGCCAGTCAATTTGACCCTACAATGAGAGAAAGTTTATCAATAATTTAGGGCGAAATATGCCGGTGTTGCCAGACAGTCTCGAATGTGCGGCTCTGAGAGCCGATATGAAAGGAGATCGACTAAATAGTCGATTCCAGCATATTCATAAGAATAAATGAGTTAAAACTCGTGGGGTTGTGTAAGGAGAATCGGTTATCGTTCAGGATGAATATCATTATTTACACAAATATTGGTCAATGGCAATTAGTTTATGCTAAGCCAATGACTGCAAGTAACTGAACCCCTTTTTATATAAAAGAAATAGTTCACCATCATTCAACCATTTAATAAAGATAAATCTAATGAACATATTAGATCTTATCTATCGCTATGACCAGTGGGGCATGAGGTAGAATCATGCAGGCCGTAGAAACAACAATAGACTCTACGGCCCTAACTTATTACTAATATCAGTGGAGCATGAGGCAGAATCATACAGGCCATAATACAATAATAAGATCATGGGGCTAACACATCTTTTAACCTACCTTTATTTCAACAGTCTCGTGACATGAACTGTTCGTGAAAGCACTCGATATCGGCTAAAACAGCCGATTCAGACATAGCGCACAGTTAAGGTCATGCTCTATCAAGAACAACTCTATCGAATAACGATCCCCACTCCACGGTGGTAACAGTGGGGTGTGAGGCAGAATCACATAGGCCATGATAATGGGCCATGGAACGATTTTCGCTAGCCAATAAATCTATTCAAGATCAGATATGCCTTAACCGCACGCTATGCACGATCAAGATTGACATAAAACAGCCGATGAAACACAACTTATCGTTTACAGTGCAGATTAGATCAGTTTAGATTAACAAACAATGGGTTAAACAAGATATAAGACCGATCTAGATCAATCTCAATCGGGCAAAGTGATATTGCTGTAATTAAATAAATAATGGAAGCAATAAGCAATATCGGTAACTTAATGAATCTATCCGAAGGAACGCCACCATTAGATAGAGCCGATAACTTGACCTTAATCTAGTTCAAGCAGTGGAGGTTGACCGGATCGATAGAGCCTTACTTGAACTAGACAAGAATCGATAACTAGCTTCTACCAGAGTCGTAGTAGAGGTCGATCGGATCGATGCAGCCGTACGAACAGAAGTATAAGCCATGACGGTACTTACAGACAAGCAGTGGAGATCGATCGGATCGATGCAGCCGTACTCGCTGAAGAACTCACCGAGATCTACTCTACTCCTACTCCTAAGGGGTGGCCGGAGCCGAAAAAAGTAAGTAACTTGTATTTGATTGATTGTGTGTTTGATACAATAGCGGGGGTTTATATTTATACCCTGGGCTGATAAGAGTCATAAACGAACACGAGTAGATAACAAAAAGAAATACCAAGATACATGAACTCTAATTTCCCTTATGTAGAATCATTGCTGATGAAGCTTCCTTGTTTGATACGTGTCCTTGTTTCTTTCATCCTAATATGCATCTAGACGTCATGTCTTTCTCAAATTAATTAAATAATATTTCTTGGTCGGCTCATAAATATCCCTTAATTAGGAAACCTTCTTGCTTTTGACATCATCGGCCGATCTATTCCTTTTCAGGATAAGCTTACCAAATTTTGGTGTAAACACAGGCCCCCTAGTTCGAAGTATGAGTTTTCATGCTTCGAACTATTTTGATCCGATGGTCTTCTTTTCCCCAGCTGATGACATTTGATCGCAATCACTAAAAGCTGCATCGGCTCCATCTTGTTTTTGATCTTGATAACTTTAAAATTGATCTTTCTCTGCATCTCCGTTCATCTGCTTTAGCCGATTAGGAGCTGGCCCCCGAGTTCGATCATAGCAATACAAGTTAACTGGTAGTATGGAAATATGCTGCATAAAAGTTCAGATATTCTAGCCAATAGTCTTCTTCCAGGGAGCCGAGGAACTTACTAGCAGCGATATTACCTTATTCCAAGCCTCACCTACACATGTAAACTTTGAAGTGTCTACCATACCATCCAGGGTGGTTGAGGAATGGAACGGATTATAATTCAGTCATTCTCGCATCCCCAGCTCAGAAAACTTGGGTTTTTAGGGCCTGTTTAGATCCCTTCCAGTTTGGAAAATGGGCACTGTAGCACTTTCGTTTGTATTTGGCAAAAATTATCCAATTATGGACTATTTAGGCTTAAAAGATTCGTCTCGCCAATTACGGACAAACTGTGCAATTAGTTATTCTTTTTACCTACATTTAATGCTCCATGCATGTGCCGCAAGATTCGATGTGACGGGGAATCTTGGGAAATTTTGGATTTTGGGTGGGATCTAAACAGGGCCTTAAAAGATTTTCAAATTAAAACATAGCTTTGCTCCTCAAATGATTCTCTTAGATCGCTCAATGTGTATAGTCCCTCGTCAAAGCATTGTTTTGTCTCTTCTTATCCTACTTCTAAAAAGTTTATGTGGAGTTTTAGGTAGGGATAAAATATGTAGCGTACTTACCTTGCATATATTGTAAGGTCAAATCCTGGATCCAATAAGAGAAATGTCATACTCTTAGATCAAGATGTGCATGTGCGTAGAATATTTGATGGCTATTCTAATTCTACTATACTCTTTGAAATATATTTCTCTCTTGTGGAATATTTTTACGAGAACATGAGCTATCTTCTCTCATCTTTTTCTTTTCCCTTTTTTTATTTATTCTAGACTTCTTTTGTATCCATCTTTTATATATTTTTGCATAACCCATGTCTCTTTTCTTAACAAACTTTTGAGAGAAATATTATCAAAAACTTGGCGCATTTATTCTAATAAAACCTAACATATTTTTGTCTTCTCCCAGTGTAGGAGCAGAACATTTTGAGGTGGATGAAAAACATATTTTTGCATACTTCCAGTATAGAAGCAGCACATATATATGGCGTGCACGTGATCTTGATCTTGGGAACATGATAAATCTCTCAACAAGGGTCAACAAGACTTGACAAAACTCAACACAGAGCAAGCAGCTTATGTGGAAGGTTTTTAATGAGACTAATATATGGCTCTGGTAGGAAATTCAACATCATTGAGGAGACAAGCTATTGATTTTGAATTTTTGTAAGAAAATTTCCCAAGTACTTTGCAAAAAGAAGCAAGGTTTCTTTCATCATACCATATCTCATTCATCAACTACTTAGATAGCATGCTTTTCCTATGATAGATTGTTCACAAGTGACAGGAAAAGCATTAAATAAAGAATATGCGTACCTCCGCTTTGAACCGATGAATGTCTTTGCTCGAACTTTCACCCAGTATGTATGTGTCATGAATGTCTTTGTTTTTGTTTTTTGCTCTGGAGACGATACATATCGTATCGGTTTTTATATATTTGAAGATCTTTAATTTTTTGAACTATAGGCGATACCTTTCTGGTACCGGCTATTAGAGTCGATGACTAAAAGAATCAGCTATCAAGTGTTGATCAAATGCTAGGATAACATCCCTTTAAATATTTTTCGTCGATCGCTATTGATAGGTTCCAAAAGAACTTTTCAGACCAAAGGTTAAACGATCGATCAATCTAGGCCAAGCATTTCATTAAACAAAACTTCCTTTAATAGATCTATCAACTCTAAATTGCACTTATGATTCGACTTAGCATTCACATACGTCGGCCTAAGCCTATTTCCAGGGCTAATGCTTATTCTTCCTTAATTCAATGGCCGACGTGAAGCCGTGACTTTTTACTAAAACAAACTCTCAGAGCCGATTGCTTGGATCGGTTGTTGGCTTTCATTGCTGATTTTAATGAAGCCTCCTTTCCATAACTTACCAGAAAAGCATTCGAAGTCTCCTAGTTCCCAAAAGACTGGATCGGCTGTTGTGATACTTACAGACTCATCAGCGCGAACCAGTTCGACATCATCTCCATGTCATTGAATCAAACACTGATACATGGTCGATGGTACACAACAGTTCGCATGAATCCAATCACGACCAAGGAGCAAACTGTACGACCCTTTTCCATCGATGACGAAGAATGTGGTGGGCAGAGTCTTACTCCCGATTGTTAGTTCGACATTCATTGCCCCCCGGGTCTTAGACGCATTACCTCCAAAGTCCTTAAACATCATGTCAGTCTCAATCAGATCTCTTGGTCATTTGCCAAGTTTATGAAAAGTGGTGTAAGGCATGAGATTAACAGAAGCACCTCCGTCCACTAACATCTTGTTCATCGGCTTCCCATCAACCAAACCTTTTGCATATAAAGCCTTTAGGTGTCGATGCTTGACTGGTTTATCAAGTATTGCTTACTGTATAACTGTTAACTTGGTAATTATCTCCTCATACTCTGATTCATTGAAATTCGAATAAATTTCTTGATCTGCCGGAGCTCTGAACTCTGATGGCAACAAAAAAGTCATTTGAATATTAGCCGATGGTTGCTTTCTAT